CTGTGTGCTCGCAAATAGAATGACCACTTTTTCAAAAGGCAAAAGCAGGACACATGCAAGACCCCCTGCCCCCTTACGCCTCCTCTTTCCCCTGGAGCCCCCAACCCCCACCTCCCCCCAAGGCTTTGTCCCTGCTCCTCCTCTTCCCCCTAAGGTCCCACTCCCTGGCCAGGTTGAAATCCAGAGCCAGGCCGTGCTAAGAGCCACCCAGCGACCATGTCCCTCTGTGGGGAGTCCTGGACCCTCCACCTGACCTAGGCAGGGGGCTGGGGGGCCCAAGAGCAGCCCCTGGCCTGTGTCTCCATCCGCCCCCCCCCCACCCCCGGGCTCCCCACAACAGCCGGAGTTCCCTTAGTGTCTCTTAGTACTGCCCAGCTTCGGCTTTTGGACTGGTCGGGCATGGAGCCCCAGAGAGAGAGGAGGAGCGGGGGGAGGCCTTCTCGCGAGGGAGGGGGGAAAGAATAAGACCCACCTCAGGCCCCCCCACGACAGGAAGAGCCTCAGGCAGGTATGGAGTGGAGCCACAGGAAATCTGCAGTAATTCGGCTTGGGAATGGGACTTCAACTCTGCATTTCAGGAACATCTGCCCCGAATTGGGCGGGACAGTCACCCTAGCTCTCACTGGCAGTTCGTGGGCAGCCTTCCTTAGCTCACCCATACGCCTTCCCTTTTCTAGGCCTTGGGTCCTGTAATGGCTTAGTTCCCTTGATCTCCCTCTTCTCAGCCTTGGCAAAATGCTGTAGTCACCTCTTCATGGCTGTAAGTCTGCTATTGGGCTAGAGTGTTTGTGGGCATGCTCCTTATCTAGGCCATTATTTTATCTTTCTTCCTTTGTTCTTTTAACAACCCCTTTTGGTCTAACTCCATAGCAAATTTATGCATCATATTCATAAACGGAACAGATATTTTCCCAGTTTGTTACAATGTGCATACGTAAATGTAAAATTCTGATGTACTAACTGATAAGGTCCATAGGGAAAAAACAGAGAAAACCATAAGATGCAAAAAGGAAAAAACAGTCATTAATGTTACAAAAATACGATGTTCTTTCTGTAGACAATATGGGATAGAATGGGATAATTCATTGGGATAGAATGTAATAATCCCAGGTTTTGATATCGGTCATCCTGAATAATGCTCTTATCTTCAGTCATGGGGATTTACTATATATGCATGACCGCCTACACACTGGAAATATTACCCCTCTATGTTTGACATTAAAATATGGTATTATCTCAATCATATTTGATAAACTTATTTTTTAAGAATCAGAAAATAGCTTTTAAAAGTCAAAACCATGCTTTTAAGAAAAAAGCTTTTCTTAGAGGAACAATATATTAGAGGAGAGGAATAATAGTATAATCTTGCATCTGTTTGTTTTTGGAAGGATCTTTGCTTGTACTAATACATTTGTATGCATCAGAGAAAATATATCATCCATAAAAAGACAATTACAGAGCACCAACCAAGCGTTTCAAACATTATTCAGTAATGTCTATAAGGAAGCATCATTTGAAAGAAAGATTTTATTGTTTTGTTTTTCTATAACTTCATATAAATCATTCCATAAAAGTAGCCATCTTACTTTTATTGATCGAAACTCAATCTGAGCTGCATCTAGGATTAGCTTTCAAAAATGTTAAATATCCTGTATAATATGCAGTTTGCTTATCTGGTGCAATTTTTTTTTTTTATTAACAATGGTTGCCACCTGGAGCTGAGTGAATGGTTGATTTTTTCGGTTTGGCCAGCAATCTGAAAAACCAGAAAATATTTGGTGTATGTATTTCTGTGTGTCCTTATAACCTTTACCCCAGTGGTTAAGATACTTGCCTGTGATTCAAGGGATTCAAGTGGGTTTGAATTCCCACTCTGGAGCAAGGACTTGAACTCAGATCTCCCCCTTCTCTGGTGAGGGCCCAAACTACCTGGCTATAGTCTATTTTGAGGTAGCTAGCTGTCAGTGTCGCATGTTGAAGCTGCTCTACCTTTTATAAATACATGAATATTCATTGAGCCAACAAGAGAGAGAATGACTCATAAGCCTGGTGGTTTGGGCACTCACTTGGGAGAGGTAACAGATGTGGATTCAAATCTTCTTTCTGCCACATTCAGAGGAGGAATTTGAATCTATTTTATATAGATTTACTTCTGTCTTTTAGATCTGTGGCCTGAGTTTGCCCTTTACCTTAGAAAGTCTCAGCACGTTGATTACCAAAGGCTATGTCTACCCTACATTGTACCCTACAATCAGTATAACTTATGACTAAATCAGCCCCCGAGTGACGTAAGTTACACCAACATAAGTGCCGGTGTAGACAGCACTATGTTGGTGGGAGAGCTTCTCCCTCTGACATAGCTGCTGCCGCTCATGGAGGCTGGAGTAGTTGAGCAGGCCAGGAGAGCTCTTTCCCATTGGCTTAGAGCGGTTACATTAGAGATCTTACAGCGGCTCAAGTACATCGGTGCAGCTGTGCTGCTGTAAACTCTAGTGTAGCTGTGCCCCAAGACAGACCTTTGCTTCAATACAAATGCAAGTTTTGGCCTAGTTTCCAGGAGTCATGCAGTACAATTTTCTGAGTTGCATCTTGCATGTTATATTGTTAGACAGACATTTTTCCCTGAATACAGATTTATGATAGAAGAGTGATTGAGCTCAATGGGAATGATCAATGCACTATGCTTAGTAGCATTTGCAAGTTCAGGCCCTAACTTTCCATTAGCTATTTCCAATAGATCAGACTATACATTGTAAACTCTTAGGGTGAAATTCTAGCACCATTGCAGTCAATGGCAAAACTCTCATTGACTTCACTGTGGCTTGGATTTCACCCTTAGGGCCAAATTCTGAGTAGATGTTTGAAGGCAGACCAAAAATTGAAGGGGACACACAACTTTGTAAAGAAGCATTGGCAAAACCATAGTTTATGTGCTAAGGTCATGCTAGCAGAAACAACAGTAGCCACGTCCGCAGTTATTTCTGCCACCTGTGACGTTGTAGGCATCAAAGAGCATGATCTGGGATGAAGGGGCATGTTAGTCCCACTGGCAAGCTCCACTCATGCTTCACGCACTTCCTTATTCCATCTTGTAACGTGTACAAAACCTAACAGAGCTCCAGGGCCACCTTTTCTACCCACTCATGGTCTGCCCTGTATTGATAGTAAACCCTCTTTGATGCCTGGTGTGGTTCAGGGACAGAGATTTAAAAGAGTCAGTTAGCAATATTTTTCTTTAAGCCCCAGCTTCTGGAATCAAGAGATTGAATGGGAATCTCAGCTTCCACCTTGTAATAAAGTCAGTTTCTAACCCTCATGGTTGCAGAGAAAAATCTTTATGAAGAAGGGAACCTTAGTGGCTCAGAAACCAGAAAACAAATAAAAAAAGACAAATAAACCAGAAAACAAAATAAATCTCATTATTTTAAAACCAATCTCATGACTGAAGGAGGGTAGGAGATCCTGACTCAATTTTTGAAACACTTGGGGTGGCAGTCCTGCAATGGGAGATGATAGAGCCCTCCTGCCCAGTAACTGTGGCTGGAAGGATCTGGATAAAGGGCTTGCTCGGGGTAAAGTCTGCTGACTGCAAGACCTTAGCTTCCCTCAGCACCTCCAGGCCTGTGGTTTGGGGGGCAGCATTGGATGCATCTGTCCCATCCCTATGGAAACTTTCTCCACTGGTCCTGAACAAAGACACATTTTGGCCTACATAGATTTCCACTGTTCTCACTTATGAGGGTTTGACACATGTAACTCAAAATTTGGCCCCTTAACTAAATTTTGTATGTTTTCAAGATCATATCAAACAAACCAGATGGATTGTATTTTATTCTGAATGGGAGTATTTAAAAAGGCTGTCATAACGGATAAAACTTCCTGTGGGGATTTTCCTGTTGCACATTGCATATGCAGCTTTCCTTCGTCCAGCCACACTTGGAGTTTGGTCAAACATTCTTGGGTTTTAACCAGTGGAGTAATTTTGCATCCCTGTTTATTATTCATCCTGTTGTATTTATTTTGTATTCCTCTTATTACATAGCATGAAATTTTACTGTACTTCTCCAGCGAAATTCTGCAAAGGATTTCATTTAGCATGCTTCATGCATTGAGCTAATTAAGGAAAAATCATTCTTTGAGCTAATTAACTATGTTTTTTTACGTGTTTCCTTCTGGGTTTTGCATAAAAGTGTAAACATTTTAGAGCAGCAGAAGTCTGAATGCTAATGAAGAGAGAAAAGAAGCTGCTGTGTATATTGTTCCCCAATATAGTCCTGTTTGGGATCACTTGCAATAACTTGATAAGCAGAGCACAAGGGCAAAATATCCAGATACCCAAACCTAGCAACACAGACATGAGAATTCTCTGGAATAACTTTCATTTTAACTTACACATGGAGAAAATATAAGTAAAGCTGCTGCAGATGACAGCTAGGGAAAGGCACATAACCAATTAAAAATATCAAAACATTTTTGAAAGAAATGCTCTTTCTCCTTACCTCCTAACTAGGCTGTTTTTAAAATCCTTTTTGATATAAGGTGTTTTATAGATAACTGATAGTTTCAATTCTTTCTCATCGAGACTCTAGGTCAAGATGCACTGTGTTAGCGATCAGCATAGATCCAAACGGTCTTTAACTCACCCAGAAGTTAGAGATTGCTTTATAACCTTAGTAGACAGATATTAAATTCCACTATAAATTACTGATAGATGGCTGGAGACTGTCATCTTTTTACAAGCATCGAGCATCTTTTTAACACCAAGCAAAAAAGTTCACACTCAATTGAATTACTTTAGTTGCATCATCTTACTCATAAATTGTCACTCATTTCCTCCCACATACTGATTTATGCATTCCAAAATTTACTACTGAAAATTCAAGTTGTGTTGCCAAGTTGAGATCCTATCAAAACAAGCTGAAAAAGATAGCCTAGTCTTGTGTGACGTTTAAAATAAATTTGCTAAATAAGGCCTCTTTCTTGTCTTTGGTTACCTATAGGATTTTGGAGAAGATGATTCCCTCTACATCACCAAGGTAACAACTATTCACATGGGCAATTACACCTGTCACGCCTACGGCTATGAAGAGCTGTATCAGACCCACATCCTTCAGGTGAATGGTTAGTAAATGGCATATATGACAATCCACTGAAAACGTTCCTGTAAGCAATGCTGAATGTTAATCTTGTTCTCACAGAGTTATGAAATGGAGCATGTCGAATTTTCTCTGTAAAAGGAAAAAACACAGCTCTTGGTTTGCACATTCACATCATCATACTGTGCTATGTTAGTATTCGTTAGATATATCTAGCCTTATAGAGTTAGTTTTGCCTCCTAAAGCCTATCAGTCATTATAAAACAAACAAAATGTTTGGTAGTATACTACGGTATTTTCTTGTATTAAGCTGCAGTGCTTCACAGCATAGTGTGGACAAATGGCTATTTTTATCGGTAGGAGTATTACTTCAGATCACTAATTTCATATTTCAGAAACTGATTCCTGTTGTATTAAATAGTTTGGAATGCTTAAATAAATATACCATGATAGCACAATACTCTTAAAGCCAATTATTTAGTATAGGTCAGACTATCAGCTGGTGTAAATCAGCATAGTTCCATTGAGGCCAGTTTACACCAGCTAAGAATCTGGCTCTTTGGATTCCACAGTGAAGAGGAACTATTCAACAACTATAAACATCTTTCTGAGTGATCACGTAGGGACAGATTCTGACATTCTTACTCTGATGTAATAGCACCTTACTTCTTAAAGAGTGCTGTGGAGTAGAACTCCAGCAGAGAAGAGCTTATATTCACTTGTGAATCACCTTTTTGCTTTCCCAAGGCTAGTGGCTGGATTGGCCCCCAGCATAGTTTAAAACAGCATAAGAGCATTCTGCCCCAATTCCTCCTTGCCCTTAACTGTCCCATACCTGGAGGAAGGAGGAGTGAAAGAGTCAGCTCTTCACCACTGGCTAATCCTCGGCCGTCCCTTTAAGGCAACTGTCTGGCTGATCGGTGCTACTGAGGAACTGGTGGATCTGGCTCACTGACTTCATTCATTCACAGTGAGTAAGGTATATTCAACTTGAGCATCAGATTCAGACTTTGGCCCCACACATGGATATCCTTTAGAAGGCCCTTAGCTCCCCAACTCATGCAATGTAACAATTTGTTTAAACACTCTGGGCCTGATTTTCCAGAGCCTTTCCCCTGTGCCATCATTTACAAAGTGGATGTTACTTCCCCCATATGCAAAGTGGATGTTACTACTACTGTCTGGATTTGATAGCGTTTCATATTCTCTTGGCACTGTTGAAAATGATCATTGTTAGTGCACAGACTGATACACTCTAGCTTCAGCCAATATATTAATTTGGCCAGAGAATCAAATTTTTTGCAAAATATAGCTGTGTTTACTCCACTCCACCTGAATGAATACTTGTGTGTCTGATATTTTAAGGGCTTTAGTTTTGTGGAAATATTTTGTCACAACAAATTATTTTTACAGGAGCATCCTTAATGAGCTGTGCACTTTCCAGACATTCAAAAAGAGACATAGCCTGAGAGCAGCGAAGGACAGAAAAATACAGACAGATCATAGAATCATAGAATATCAGGGTTGGAAGGGACCCCTGAAGGTCATCTAGTCCAACCCCCTGCTCGAAGCAGGACCAATTCCCAGTTAAATCATCCCAGCCAGGGCTTTGTCAAGCCTGACCTTAAAAACCTCTAAGGAAGGAGATTCTACCACCTCCCTAGGTAACGCATTCCAGTGTTTCACCACCCTCTTAGTGAAAAAGTTTTTCCTAATATCCAATCTAAACCTCCCCCACTGCAACTTGAGACCATTACTCCTCGTTCTGTCATCTGCTACCATTGAGAACAGTCTAGAGCCATCCTCTTTGGAACCCCCTTTCAGGTAGTTGAAAGCAGCTATCAAATCCCCCCTCATTCTTCTCTTCTGCAGGCTAAACAATCCCAGCTCCCTCAGCCTCTCCTCATAAGTCATGTGTTCTAGACCCCTAATCATTTTTGTTGCCCTTCACTGGACTCTCTCCAATTTATCCACATCCTTCTTGTAGTGTGGGGCCCAAAACTGGACACAGTACTCCAGATGAGGCCTCACCAATGTCGAATAGAGGGGAACGATCACGTCCCTCGATCTGCTCGCTATGCCCCTACTTATACATCCCAAAATGCCATTGGCCTTCTTGGCAACAAGGGCACACTGCTGACTCATATCCAGCTTCTCGTCCACTGTCACCCCTAGGTCCTTTTCCGCAGAACTGCTGCCTAGCCATTCGGTCCCTAGTCTGTAGCGGTGCATTGGATTCTTCCATCATAAGTGCAGGACCCTGCACTTATCCTTATTGAACCTCATCAGATTTCTTTTGGCCCAATCCTCCAATTTGTCTAGGTCCTTCTGTATCCTATCCCTCCCCTCCAGCGTATCTACCACTCCTCCCAGTTTAGTATCATCCGCAAATTTGCTGAGAGTGCAATCCACACCATCCTCCAGATCATTTATGAAGATATTGAACAAAACCGGCCCCAGGACCAACCCTTGGGGCACTCCACTTGATACCAGCTGCCAACTAGACATGGAGCCATTGATCACTATCCGTTGAGCCCGACAATCTAGCCAGCTTTCTACCCACCTTATAGTGCATTCATCCAGCCCATACTTCCTTAACTTGCTGACAAGAATACTGTGGGAGACCGTGTCAAAAGCCTTGCTAAAGTCAAGAAACAATACATCCACTGCTTTCCCTTCATCCACAGAACCAGTAATCTCATCATAGAAGGCGATTAGATTAGTCAGGCATGACCTTCCCTTGGTGAATCCATGCTGGCTGTTCCTGATCACTTTCCTCTCATGCAAGTGCTTCAGGATTGATTCTTTGAGGACCTGCTCCATGATTTTTCCAGGGACTGAGGTGAGGCTGACTGGCCTGTAGTTCCCTGGATCCTCCTTCTTCCCTTTTTTAAAGATTGGCACTACATTAGCCTTTTTCCAGTCATCCGGGACTTCCCCGGTTCGCCACGAGTTTTCAAAGATAATGGCCAATGGCTCTGCAATCACAGCCGCCAATTCCTTCAGCACTCTCGGATGCAACTCGTCCGGCCCCATGGACTTGTGCACGTCCAGCTTTTCTAAATCAGTAGGTGGAGGTTAAAGCAAAGTGAAATAATAAATAGGAATTTTTATGCAAGTCAACTAAAGCCATAGTTGGGCTCTTGGGAAACTTAAGTATGATCAGGGTAGGGGCCTTGTGGATAAGTTCAGGGAGGTCTGTCTCCAAGCTATCATCTGGTGGGTCAAGATACCCTGACCAACAAAGAAAAGTGGGATTGGGGAGGAGAGTAGTTCTCTTTTCTCTATGGCAAGTCTACAGATTTCTGGGGAGGTAAGCCACAGCCTGCAGCCAGCTGTCCCCAAGCTCAGTATCTTTTTCTTCAACATATCTCCACTGCTACAATGATCACCACCCCCCACAACACACCTTTCAAGATCTGTGGGTCCTACACATGCCTAACATGTGATATACCTCATCCAATGCACTAAATGCCCCAATAATAACTATGTGGGTGAAACCAGACAACCACTATGCTCTCAAATGAACTCACACAGGAAAATAATAAGACAAAAATAGCCTATCACCTGTGGGTGAACACTTTTCACAAAGCAATCACTCTATATCTGCCCTATTAGTCCCCATGCTCCAAGGAAACCTGCACAACACTTTCAGAAGATGAGCTGAGAGCTCAAATTCATAAGTTTGCTAGACACTAAAAATCATGGTCTTAATAAAGACCGTGGATTTATGGCTTATTACAACAATCTGTAATCCACTAACCCTCTTTTTTGTCCTATGACTCCAAGGATGTTAAAGGCCACTTCACCTTGAATGGTCCCTTAGAATATGTGCTAACTTCTTATACTAAATTATCTGTTCCACCTTGTATTTAGCTGTGACACCCTAAGTTCCTTTTCCAAACCTGAAGAAGAGCTCTGTGTAGCTTAAAAGCATGTTCCTCTCACCAACAGAAGTTGGTCCAGTAAAAGATATTACCTCAACCACTTTGTCTATATTTTTCCCAGCATTGTTTGTATCTTCACCTGCCTTTTTCTGGAGCTGTTTTTTCCCTGGGTAACTGCTTCATTCTTCCAGAAGGTTGCCTCATCTTCCTTTCATCTTCTCAGAATGAGCTGGTTTGGTTTATGTAGGCCCAGCCGTCTCTGAAAGATTGTTTAACTGGACTCAGGTGCTTTTTTTTTCTTCCTCCCCTTCCCCTGCAAATGACAGTTCATTCTGTTGCAAGATCATACAACGCACAGGGGCAGGCCAAATGGAAGAAGCTTGCAGGTCGTTTGACTGGAATCTATCCTAATGTTTATGGACAATAATTTCTCATCTTTTGGTATGGTAACTTGCAATGTCTTAGAATAAAGATAACTAGAATGAGTGAGAATAGGTTTCCTTTCTCAAAATGTTACTTGTGAGATGACTGGCAGGTGGGAAAAAAGCAGACTAACAACGTAATCTTTTGTACATTATATGATGTATTATGAGCTTTGAATGGAGTTTAGTTGGCAGGCAACAATGTAGACTTTGTCATTACTTAGAATTCAAGGCCCAAAGGCTTTTGAAACTAAAACCTAAATGCAAAGATTAAAGGAAGTGGGATTTTTCAGTCAGTGGTTCTAATGAGAGGCATACTCAAGCTTGTCTCTCAGATGTAACTTGTTGGGAGGGATGTGTGGTATTTGTGGATGAACGTGCTGGGGGGGGGGAGAGTTTTGCAGATTAGCTCTGAAGTTTTTCTTATCGAAAGGAGGGCTTCACATTACAACTTTCATCTTCGTTTGCCTTGTAATGTTGTAAAGTGCCCTCCCCAAATACTAATATTAAAGTCATGTGCACTCATGTCAAAGAGAACCACAAGTTTGACCTAGTAATACTCTAGTCTGTAGAAATCTTTGTCTTACGCAGTGTCCCGTATTCCCATGTGAGCTCTTGAGCTTTGCAAAGCTGCTTTGTTGTAGTTCTTAATGTGCTTGGCTACTCTCCCACATCATTAAAACTCTGCTTTTATACTTGAGTGATTACTTGTTCCA